TCTGCATTTGTACCAATTGACAACAGATGATGCAATGAAAAACAAACATATCTGAGATGTGTTGCTACATGAGTTTAAGGCCAAATCTTGTTTTTAGCCAGGCTTTCAAAATTCATTCAATTAATTAGGAAGGATACTGTTCTTTAACTTGCTTTGTAGAGGTGATCTCACTTCTCTCACCATGCTTCCTATTGGAGGCCTAAACTCCCAAGATTATTTTAGAATTCTTTATAGCAGTGTGCGTAGTGGATCACTGCTGATGGAATGCTGTTTATAATCTGACATGCTGCTGCTGTTTGGCTGCTCTCCCTCTTCACTCCAATTGCAGTTGAACAGTACTAGGACTGTCCTGCTTTGAAGTTAGGCAAGAATGTAGGTCTTTTTGTTTTGTTAGTTAAATAAGGCATGTCAGCAAAGAAATATGTCATTCTAGCTCTCTGGTTATTCAAAGGCTCACGTCATTGAGGTTCTCTATAAGCCACTATTGCACCTACTGTTAACCAGCATCAGTCCTTTAGCTCTGCATTCTGGTGAGTTTTTTGTCTTTTCTTTTCCTTACGGCCTTAAATGTTCAATTACTGAAATAACTGTGATTAGAATTCTCTACGGTTATAATGAACATGGTTTGCAGATTGGAATGCAGTTCTACTTATTTGCTGTGTGCTTGTCTCAAGACACAAAGTTTCGTAATGCTCTCTTATACTGATATTTATACCAAAAGATCTCATCATAGCTCTAAAGCATACTTATCAACTTGCATATCTGCGCACCAATCTTTTAAATGGGACAAAAGATAATTGCAAAATCTTGCTAGTACTTCTGTAATGTGAAGAACATTGAACCTGTACACAGTAGAGTTGTGTGAAGGCACCTTGTTAATAATTATAACATTTTACTTTAAAATGTTGAAACGTTATTCCACATGTGAAGACCAGTTGGATTGCGAAGAAGCTAACACAGAGCCACTTGCTGCAGTTAATTTATTTTTAAAGGTCAGTGTTGTCATGGTAATAACTGGCAAGGAATTTTACCATGTTTATACTTTCAGGCAGAGCACAACAAGATGACTAGTGATGAGACTGACACCATACTGATTCCATCTTGCTGCAAATGCATTTTAATTTAAAACTTTGAAATTTTCAAATAAAAATCAGAAGTTAGAATATTTCAAAACAGCTTCATCACATTTTCAGTGATACTCCTGTTGTATCAATTCTTTAGATCAGTAATCCTGATTGTGCAGTAGTTGTATATCCATGACTGTTCCGACATTTGTTAAAGTTCCTCTGATACAGCAGAGTTTCCCTGCTAGGGAAAAAGGAAAATGTTAAGAGTGACACTTATTTAGTACCTTTTAAGCTGTCAATGTACTCATTGTCTAAGAAGTACTTTTTTGGTATGTTCACTATTGTTCTGTAGGCAAAAGGATCAATTAGTTGCACACAGCAAAGCTACTATGAACAGCATATGGGATAAATGATCAGTTCATTCATTTTGATAGTGCTACTTGATCGATCAGGATGCTCAGGGAACTTTTTTTTTTGATAGGGTCAAGTGACCATTTATTCTTGAATGCACAGGCAGGGTGTCCTTTTAACACTTCATCAGAAACATGACAGCTTTCACAACGCAGCACTTCTTCAGTATGCACTGAAGAGCCAGGCTGGATTATACATGAAAATTCTGTAGCGTGACTTTTACCAACGTTCCCAGTCAACTGCATGTGTCTGCAGCCTTACAGGAACCTGGAAGGTACCATGAAAATCCTTCGTAAGTTGTTTCTTCTAAGATGCCAGCATGCAGCCCACAAAAAAATTAAAGGTCGACTGCAATCAAATAAACAGGCCATCCAGAAGGAAAATGCAATGGACTTAAATACATTTGAACAGCCAGTAACCATGTACCCAGGTGTATTACTGAGCTGTGGGCAAAGTTGACCTCTGTCAGAAGTGCAAGAGACAATACCGTGGCCAGTCATTAACATTTTTAAGCTGGATGCATTGCAGGAGTGCACATTGGTTTTTACTCCCCTTTCACTCACATGTCCTTAGAGGACATCAACTGATGAATTGCCACATCTAGCCATATTGACACCAATTAAGGAGGCAGCCCTTGACTGACTGGAATAACTGCATAGGAGTGTGGTGAGAGTAAAGAGAGTAAAGCTAGGATCTGATCATCTTCATGTGATAGGAATGGAACTCATTCATGTTTCCTTCATGCCAAAGCAGAAGTTTTAAGGATCTGCTTCAACTGCACAGAGCAGACAGTAACAGAGGAAATTTGCAAACCTACCTGCTTGTATGTCCCATAGGGCCATTTGTGGAGCAGCAGACAATGCAGGCAAAAGTGACAGCATCGATGTAGTCTGGAAAGCAAGAAGATGCATGTGAGGCTGCACTGCCAGACCATTCAAGATCACCAGCGCAGACACATCACCTCAATGGGCCCTCAAGCAATCATAGAAAGGGTGGCATATAGCAAGCAACACATCAGGGAGGAGGTGAGGGAGCCAGTTGTAGCTGTTGGCAGTGGCCCTTGGAGGATGGACACAACCATACTGTGATGACGGAAGTGCAGAGTCATGGGGGTCACACACTGAGTTTGTGTTCCCATAGCAACAGTGGGAGACATGCCTAAGTGTCAAGTTCCCAGAGACTGTGCAGAGTGTGGAGCAGAGAATGGAGATGTCCACTCAAAATATATATTCTGCCCTGTATCGGGCACATGACTGCATGAGCCTGTCCATTGAGAGCATGACCAACTACTTGGAGAAGCATAAGGGGTATCATTAGAGTGGATTCAGGAGCATTGCACTGACTTCCAGGCAACAAATGTCACTTTATGTAGAACTGACACATCACTGGCCCTGATGGCACAGATGATGTATGGACAGGGCACCAGGTATGGTCAACTCTAACATTCAAGCACCCATGAAGTGGGTGGTGATGAGTGTGGGGGTACCTCCAATGAAGGCATCATCATCTGATGCCTCCACAGCCTCTCCAACGAAGGCACCATCAATGCAGGAAGGCTCTCTGGCAGTGGCTGCCTCTCCATTGTTGCAAGTATGGCAAGCTGTTCCAGTGCCCACACTGGCACCACAACACTGAGGATTACTGCCAGAATTATCTCAGCAGACACACATGAACAGCCTGCCTCCACCTAACCTTTCCTACAGGGGGAGCATCCTGTAGGAAGAACAGGCTCTTACTAGTGGGGTACTGCAAGGGTCAGTGATAGGTCTGTTCCAAATGTTCACAACTTATTTAAATGATTTGGATGTGAAATTAATTAAATTTCCAAATTTGCTGGTGACATCAAACTGAGTGGGATCGTAAGTCATGAGGATACAAAGGAGCTTCGAGAGAATGTGAACAGGCTAAGTGAATGGGTTAAAACATGATAGATGGTATTTAATGTGAAAAAGTGTGAAGTTATTCATTTTGGTGGAAAAAAAAGACAGAATAATTCTTAAATATTGAGAGCTTGGAATGTGTGGATGTCCAAAGGAATCTGGGTGTACTTGTCAATGAGTCATTAAAAGTTAGCATGTGATTGCAGCAAGCAGTTAGGAAGGCAAATGATATGTTAGCATTCACTTCTACAGGATTTGAGGATTTGAGAAATTAAGATATCTTGCTGTAATTGTATAAAGCCTTAGTGAGGGCTCACCTGGAGTATTATCTCCAGTTCGGTCTCCTTATCAAAGAAAGGATATATAGTCATAACGGAGTTCCACGGCAGGTCATCATATTAATCGATGGCAAAGCAGGATTTTTTTATGAGGAGAGATTGAAGAAACTCAGTCTATATTTCCTTGAGCTTCAAAGAATGAGAGGTGTAGTGAATTGAAACTTACAAAATTCTTACAAGGTGAGACAGAGTGAATGTATATAGGATGTTTCCCCTGACTGGTGTTTCTAAAACCAGATAATATAACTTCAGAATAAAGGGTAGGCCATTTAAAATGGCGATGAGGAAGAATTTTTAGAGGGTGGTGATCCTTTGGAACGATGTTCCCCAGAGGGCTATGAGGGTCGGTCATAGAGTATGTTCAATGAAGGAATTGATAGGTTTCTGGAGATTAATGACATTAAGGGATGTGGAGAACGTGTGCTTAAGTAGCGTGGAGGTAGATGGTTAACCATGATCTAATTAGTGGGATAGGCTTGGTGGGCTGAATAGCCTGCCCCTGTACCAATGTTCCTGTCCATCAACAGCAATTAGGTTATATGCATTTCTGGCAATGGAGAGATAAATGTTGTTTTCATAACCTCAGCTTCCATCATGTCATATGTACTTTTCTTTCCCATTTTTATTTCACTAGGCTGGTCATCATCTTGTTTCTTCCTCACTAATGCTAATGCATTCAGATAGTTTTTATATGTAATTTACACCACATTTAGACATAACCTTTGTTTCCTCACTGTATCCATTACTATTCTTTCTAGTTGTTTCATCATGAAACTTCAGTTATTTAACCTTCCCAGGTATTTGCTTGGCTCTGTTGATATTATTCTTGCACTGAGTTTGAAACTTGTGCCCACTTTGTGACTTGAATATTTTATTGATTCACCTTTTAGTGCATTACTTAGTATTACTCAGTTGCCAGGAGTGAATACTTTCAATTTACACGATCAAAATGGAGCCTTTCATTCATTCAGGTAAACATCAAAGATAAAAAACATAAGAGATTCTCCTGGTAAACATTCTTTCTTTAACCAACAGTTTCCAACAAGCTAGTCATTAGTTGCACTTCCTGTCCCAGGAAAGTGATGTATGCAAGATTGGAAGTTGCATTCTTCTATGTAATTAGATGCTTTTCAGGATACCACAATGCAATAAGTTTGTGCACATTTATTATTTGCACCAGTGGTAAATGTTTTAATTGTAATTAATCTTTTTTTCAGAAATTGGTTCATCCAAAGAAATTAGATGAATCTTTGAAGTCTCGTTTTGAAATGATGAAGATCAGATTATTGAACAGCAGCTAAAGGATGGATGGATTGGATCAGACAGAAACCACCACGGATCACTTCTCTCCTGACAGGCTTACCGGTCACATAGATCCATTCAACCACCAGCGTGGCAAAGGGGACTCTGGTTATAGTTCCTTCTCTATTTCATTCAACACTCCAGAGTACTTGTCTCTAGCTCATTGCAGTGAGAATCCCAGGCAGTCAGGATATGCGTTCTATCGGGGTCCTGATTCAGAGACACTGCAACATACTGACGCAGTAGTCTGCGATGCTGGTGTTATGAGCACTGAAGAGAGACCCGTGTTCCCGCCAATGGATAACTCCCATAGGAATGGTAATAATAGGAAGTTTAATTGGTCAAACCCACCTCCTCCTCCAATGCGCCATGATAGTTTCCTAGTTACCAAGCAGCATAATGATCTTGGCAACAATTACAGCTACGATGGGTTATGCCTTCCAACTGTGACCGAGAGGTCTTCATTAATTGAGAGCAAGACACAGGGGATGACTATTGGAAGTTACCACCAATCTCAGGAGACCACAAACCTGCCTCCTGATAAAGTTCCTTCTGACCTTGGACAAACCCAAACTCCATGGTGTACTCCAACTTCAAACTTGACTGGTTTTGTGCCAGAAAAGCACAATCACTCACTTGAAGGTGCTGTCAGTTTTCCTTCCAAAGGGACTGATAAGGCATCTCAGAACAACTCAAATGATTCACCTCCTTCCTTTGTCCATCACAGTTTAGGTGTCACACATGACTGTGCAGAATCACAGCAACAAATCTACAATCTCCCATTGGCACACGGAATTAAACCATGTCTTGTTAGACAGCAGCACCTCGATCTATCACCTGTAGTAACTCTTACTAGTGCTAGTGAAAGTAATCAGACTGCAGTGCCATATTGTTACACCAGCAGCACACATACAGAAACATCCACAAGAGAGCCTTGGCCAGCAGAAGGTATTTCTGGGCCTATCCAAGCAAAGGACCTAGAGAACACTACAGAAGCATATAAATCTGAGGTACATTCTAAGCTTCATGTAACTAGAGATTGCAAAGGTAGAAGGGAATCTTTGAACCCATTGAGTACCAGCCATTTAGTTCTTCAGTCACCTGGCATGGATTTGCAATCCACGTGTGGAGAATTTGGATTTAGAAGGCATAACAACACCAGCAGCAGCCAGATCTTCTATTGTGGACCCAGTGAAAATTCTCACAACCCAAAACCACATCCTACAGTGCCTGAGTCAGCAATACAAAGCAAGTATATAAGCCAAAGGCAAATGAGAAATAGCATAGACAGTGCAGGGTCTCCGATACTCCCACATTCAGATACAAGAATTAACCACAATGCTTTAGCAAACCAATTGTCTACGCCAGCAAGACAGTTATGTACCGATGGAGTAATCACTGCTGAAAATACTCCAATGCTGCATCGTCTTACCTTCGAAAGCACAAATACAGCCAAAAATGCAGCAGTAAATACTAATCAGAAAAGACAACTCACTGAGGAGTCAAAGGATGCATACAATCAGAGGGACAGAAACCAAGACCTGCGCAGGGGTTTCCAGAGCAAACAGGAACAGTTTCACAAGTGCAAGAGTTTTTTGCAGCCCTCAGATGAATCTACCAAACTCAACCAATTGAATGAAGAACATCCAGGATCACCAATTGATTCTTCTAAAATTGCTTATAGAGACCAAGTGAAGCATGCACAGACTATGGTCCTGAGGGAGACCTCTTTTAAACGTAGAGATCTTCAGCTTAGTTGGCCAAACCAAGCTAAGCAGAAGTCCACTCAGAGGCCAAGCATCACACACTTACAAACAGCTTCTTTGACAGACCCAAGGCATTTCCTTGATGATCCAACAACCACAATGTCATCATCGCAAGTATTACATGAGGATCTACCAGCTAAATCGCTGGCTTCTGAGCACCAGACTGCCCGTTTGGGAAGCAGGAAAAGACTGACATCTCAAGAGAAAAAGATGTATCATTCGGTACCTGAAAAAATAAATCAATTGGGTGTGGCAAATGGTTCAAGAAAATTCCCTCCTTCATGGGAGCAGGATGACAATTTCCCAAACCCACATGAAGAGAGGAGCATTGTAGCTTCCAGGCAACAACTGTTTGAAACAACTTCCTTGGCAGCAAATGCACCCGTTGCATTAAAGCACATTCAGCACAAGGCCTTAATTGAGTACATGGAACGTAAGAGAAGTCAGAGACCCTGTAGCACAGAACCCATGTGTGAACAAAGCCAAATGGGAAGGTCCATCTCGCACAGGAGGTTTTCAGACTGGAGTTCCAATGTATGTTCCAACCTCAGCCCTGCCAAAGGGCAGAACATATCGCAACACAAGTCTGCAGATATGCAATGGGAACCTTGGGATGATTCTTTGGCAATGCCGGCCGTCTGCACCAATGTCTCTCCCAGCAGCCAGTTAAGCCAGCCATTTCAGAACCATCACTTTCAAAAGCGGGCAGATGACGTTAGTATTTCTGGAAAGTTTGCCTCCACTGATAAATTACCGAACCAACCAAGGTCCGTTCATTTTGTTGGGCGCCCAAGATCAAAGTCATCTCCATTATCTTCACAGGTATGTACATTAGCTAGTAGCTGAGTCATTCTCACTTGATTTGTCCCTCTGGCACCGTCTGAGCTGAGATGCTCTGGCTTTGATTCCCACATCAGGACTGGTATCTTATTCACTTCAGGAAAGCCAGCATGTATCAATGCTGAACCACAGCTCAAATAAATGGAGAAAGTTAATGGCAGGAAAGGTACCAAATGCATCTGCTAGGGACAGAAAGCAGTGACAGATAAGGAGGGTGAGCAACTAGCAATGTAGAAAAAGCTATGAAAAGAAAAGTGAACTAGCCCCATGAATGCCAGATCCAAACTAAATGTTTTCCAAGTAGTTTCTGGTTCTTTATCATGTGGCTAGGGATGAGGGTCAGAAGAGGATAGGAATTGTGAAAACATTGAAGAGAATTTTACAACAATGGCTGGGGACTGTAAACTCATCTGATTATAGGTTTTAAGATTTTGAAATGGCCTGTATCTAAATGATTATGAATTTTTTGTTCTAAAACCATATTAACCTCAGGAGAAATTAAGGAAAATGCTGTTCCTCTTGCAAAATAAGCTTTTCGTTTTCATTTTTTAACCACAATGAAATCAGAGTTTGTAAATAATTAGAGCACACATGTTGGTTGCATGATTTATTAGGAATTGGCAATGTTGTTACAATCCTTTTACATACAAACATGGTGACACTTTTACAATGGCAACAGCATCACTTAGAATTACATAGATTTGCAGCACCAAAACAGTTCAACCAATCAATGCAGGGTTCAGTGTTTTAGTATATTCCCTTTTCTGTCACATATTCATCTAACTTCCTTTTGAAAGTGTCTAAGCTACTTGCGTCTACCATTCTCTGTGGTAGCAAGTTCCACATTCAAACCACTCTCCAAATAAAGAAACTTCTCCTTATTTCTGTATTGCATTTATTATTAAGTTGTACTGAAAGCCTAAGTTTAGGACCTTCCCACAAGCGGAAACGTTCTCTCTGCATCTACCCTGTTCCATCCATTCAGAATTGGAAAGACCTCAATCAAGTCAACTCTAAGTTTTCTCATTTTAAAGGACAAAATAAAACCTGTTCAATTCTCTTCTTCAGTGCAATCTCTCAGTTCTGGTACCATCCTAGTAAATCTTTTATCCCAGTAAATATTTTATAGTATAGGGACTAGAAATGTGCACTGAATTGCCTGCTGGCTATTGCCTTGTTTCCTGATTAGTTTTTTTGGAAGTTTAAAGTATAAATTTAAAACACATTGAAATTAAATCAAACAAACTGAAGAGAATAACCATGTTTTGATAAAGTTGTTTTTTCTTTCCTGTTGCAGAAGGATCTAGCTCCTGCTCTAAGCTCAGAACCATTGAAACAAATGTGTAACAGCAGCAACACTTCCAGGTGAGTGACAAGATGTCTTTGAAAAGACCATGTACTAAGCTTGAAGCTTCAATATTTAGGAAGCGGAACTGAAGTGGAGGGATATTTCTGCCTATTCTGATGATGTTGGCCTGACCTTGTTTTCCAGCCTGAGGATCATTTCCCTGTGGAAAGCAAATCTGCAACTTCCAGATTTGTGTCCATTTTGGGACAGAACCATGCTCGGGTATGTCCCTTGCCCACAGACCTTGCCATAGAATCAGCATGGACGAGTTGGGCGAAAGGGGCTGTTTACGTGCTGTATGACTCCATGAGAAGACAGCCAATGGATTGCTTATGCAAAAAGGGATAACCTTTTAAATTGAAAATGTTCTTCATGGTAACATAACAACAGTCTGAAAGTCCTCATATAAACCCCTCTTTCAGTCGTATCCTCTGGTGAATTCTAAGACTGGATAGGTGATTCCGGTACCCAGTGTTGCAATGCAAGTAACAGGAACTATCAGAGAGGCCTTTTTCGCATCTCATGGTTGGCTGTGATTTCTTCTGCTGGAACAAATCTGGAGAAAGCACTGAGCGGCCAGTCACACAGTGATGATCATCCCCAAATTGTTTGCCATCTCTGCCTGTGCAAGATCCACCAAGTGTTGTTGCAGAGAGCCAGGAATTGAAGCACCAGTTCATAGCTAGGTCAGCGCTGCGGTTAAGTCAGCCTAATGTGACGTTACATCATCATCTTATGTACTGAGGAATATCAGTTTGTCAAACACATTTCAAGTGTAGAGGGGACTTCTTTACGTTACCTCTTATTTAGGAAACAACCTACAATAAATCAACATAAAAGGTATTTGGATGAGATGGATAGTTTGAATGTATTCATTTCTATATGCTGGGAACAAAGCAAATATCAATACTAAATAATTTAAAATAACAATAACTCGCTTAAGGCAATGATTGTAGGCACAGACCATAGAAATGATAGCTGTGTGAATGAGCAGTTATTCTATGTAGGAATAATGTCCCCAAATATCTGTAGCCATTTCACAGACAACTGCTCTGACTCAAGCCATTACAAAGGGAGACTTTGAGGGAGCAGATGTAGTTTCTTCCTGATGGGAGACTTGACTTTTGTAAACTGGATTTCTGGAAATTTTATTTTAGGGAGTAGGATTTACCTGAAGTTAGGAGTGAATTTGTCTTCCCCATCACCTGAAAAATGTTTGAAAATTTATCAGTGAAACTCGGGAGGGAAAGAAATTGATCCATAAGTACAGGTTTGAGAAGATTATAATGAAATTGTACTGCACTTTGAATTCTGTGTCTAGTTCCAGTGGATTAGAAACAAGGTAAATTTCAAGGAATTAAGACAGTGGAGAAATTGATCCATAGTGTCAAAGTTTTGAGGGAAGCTAAAAGACCATAATGATCTTGTTGAGATATGTAAGAATAGTCAAGAGAATAGAAAAGGTCAGTTCTTAATATTCCTGGATATCAAGCTGTGATAGTAGATTCAAACCAGCGAAAGGTAAATAAAGACTCATTGTCAGTTGCAAAACCAGAAATTGCTGGCGAAACTTAGCAGGTCTAGCAGCATTTGTGGAGAGAAAGCAGAGTTCAGTGTTCACAGATGCTGCCAGACCCCTGAGTTTCTCTCACAATTTAGGCTTTTGTTTCAGATTTCCAGCATCTGCAGTTCTTTATTTTATTTCTTTATAAGATGATTCTTTGTGCAGGAAATGATCAGTGCATTGAATCAGCTCCTGAAGAAGCCTGGAATTATTTGAGGAACTATTGGCTGTTGTAGTGGGGGGTAACGTATGGTATTTCTGGTTGGAAAATCTAAGATGATCCAATAGTCTTCCTCCTCCACAGTAATGGAACACAAGGTAAAACATTGTACAGCTATGGGGGAAAAAGTGGAAGAGTGAGAATAACAGAGTAGGCCATTTGGTCATGATAAACTGTATAGTCGACTTCTCTGTTGTGACCATTTCTGAATTCTGTGGTTAGAATTCGAAATCCCTAGAGAAATTCAGTCATTCACCAGCAGAGGACGCCATAAACCCTGTCCTCACACCTGAGAAAATTGTATATGATCATTATAATTGGATCGCCATTGTCCATGTATTATTGGATTGAGGTTGCTTATTATGTAACTGTTATATAAATAATAATTATTATTTTTATACATCACAATTCTGCTCTTAGCCAGCTATTCTTACAGTTCCTTTGGGAAATGTTAAAAGATAAATCAATAATTGCTTTAACTGGAGTTTACGCAACAAAATAGGAGCAGGAGTAGACCCAATCAAGTCTGCTCTGCCAGTCATAGCTGATCTGATATGGCCTCAACTTCCTGCATGATCCCATATCCCTTGATACCCATATCAATCAAAATTTCTGTCCAACTCAGCCTTGAATTTTTCAATCATTCAGCCTCCAATGCTTCCTGGTGGTAACAATGCCAAACACTAATGATCTTCGAGAGAAGAAATTACTCCTCATCTCCTTCTTAAATGGGAGAGGCCCTATTTTGAGACTGTGACCCCAAATTCTAGATTTTTCCCACGGGTGTATTCCACATATCAACGATGTGAGAGTTAAGGTGAGAAAAGTATCTAATCTTGGTTTTGCTTGACACTTGTTAATTTTATGACATACGTGCTCCAATTTTGTTTTCACAATCTAAATATTTCAAATTTGTAATGCTTCTTCTCAGGTCTGTTTCTGGTAAAGTCAATTCTGTAACTGATCGGATTTCTTATTCAAATTGTCATGAAAATAAGTGTAAAAACATGGCCCCTAGCAAAAACATCCTTGCCAGACAAAGAGGAAAGTCATTGGATGAAATCCAGACACCAAGAGTCAGAAATTCCCCAGTACTGAGCAGAAGTTCTGACCAGCTCCATCACTCTGTGATCGATAGTGAAGTAGAATCCCAAACTGGAAATATGGTGCATCAAGAAAGGCCCAGTGGAACTCCAACTAAATGGAATAAGGTGGCGCTGGCATTGAAAAAAGGACCTCCACCACTATCAAGATTACCTTCTCCCAAACAAGAGGGGATTAAATTGAAGCAGGAAGGCATTATGTTAGGAACTAACAAGATTTCAGCTCTCACTACCTTTGAGACAGATTCTAAAGTAATCAAGGCTCATAGAGGTTCTTCTGCAGAATCCCCAACTTCTACATCCCCATCTCCACGTTCCAGGCTGCAATCTCCACTGTGGAATTCAAGAGACCAGGCGCATTCCCTTTCCTCCCTGTCTTCCTGGAGAGATGATGTGTTTGTTGAGGATTCTTCTAAAATATCTGAAAATAGTAAGACAGATCCTTGTTCAGCAGTTGAAAACTTCTCTGTTCAATTCAACATCTCACAACAGCATCATTCAAAAAGTTTTGAATCTTCACCCACGGAAATGACAATGAGAAAAGAAACCAAATCAGCGACACAATCAACCAGGTAAGGCGGCAAAATCTGTACATTATTCAAAGCAAATCCTTGCTATTCCTTATCTAGATTTTCTGTACGGTATTGCAGTTTTGTTTAAAGCAATTTAACAATTGCCTTACAGCCAATAGTTGTTAAAAAGTTGCAAAACAGAAATCGCTAGAGAAATTCAGCAGGTCTAGCAGCATCTGTGGAGGGAATGTAGACGTAACGTTTTGAATCCAGTGACCCTTCTTTACTGGACACTCCAGTTTCTCCAGCGATTTCTGTTTTTGTTTCAGATTTCCCGCATCCACGGTTCTTGGTTTAATTTTAGATGTAAAAAGTTAAGTGTCTCAATTCAATTTGGCTACAGATATAGCACAGTTTCAGCTGCAACTATAAAACGTAGTATTAGGGACAATGTGACCATATTGAACAGTTCCAGTATTGCCTTTACTGCTTGTATTTCACCTATGAGAATGTCTGTTAATAAAGACAGAATATGGGTAAGCTTGGCATCAAAATTGCTACTCCTCAAAGTGCCAGTTTGCAGCAGTGAATATTGATGCTGCTCAAAAGATTAATTAGTTTTAGAGGTGGGGAGTAGTATGGTGCTGTTCTGTGAGGACAGAACCCTCACTGTTGGTTCATGGGGCCTCAAGAATTCTTAATTTAGCAATGCCAGTGAGTGAACCAGTATCATCCTTTATACGGCGAGGGATCAATTTCAACCCTAATGATAGTGAAAGCTACTTCTCAATTGGAAGTACCATTTATGAGGAAAGTCTGTTTTATTTCAGCTGTCTTGAGAAACTAATTTTAAAACAATATCGGCTTTTGCACAAGCCCAAGAATATATTAAAAGTTCATATAATACTGTTTTTTTAATCTTCTATGAACCAATCCAGTTTGGTAGAATTCTGTTAGCTCAAGGTTCTGTCAACAGTCCTCACCAACATCTTTCCTTTAAGGCTCACCAGGAGAAATCTAATGGCATTATTGGAAAATACCTTTCCCAGCTCTTCTTTCCCTTTGCTTCCTTTTCCCCCTGGCAGAAGCCTAATTGTAGCTGTGGGCCTAAAATGCAAAGCAGATACTTGTGATGGGTGTGTGGTAGATGGATAGAGGAGAGTTGCTAATGCCTCTATTGTAAATCTTTTCAAATAGCATTTTAATTGTAGCCGTTAGACATGATTCCAGCTTTTTTTTTCCTTTCTAGAGGAAAGAATTCACTGTCAACGAGGGAATCTCTTCAACTAAATCTTGAAGAAAATGGTGAGGAAAATCATAACAGGTCTATGTCAACAGTGTTGGGATTCTCATCAAACAGTTCAGACCTCGCTATTGAAAGACCTGTGCCAATCTTGATGGCACAAGTTGCAAAGTCTGCTGAGGACAAAAGTGAGACCAACCAGCCTTTTCCAGTAAAGGACCGTCAAGACAATGGGGAAGAGCCATTTCCGCAGCTTTCAAAAGACCCAGGGTCCACATCTGTCCATGTAAGGGTGAAGACAAAGACTCCTGAAGACCTCAGAATTGAGGAGCTTATAAAGGAAATTATAAATGAGGATCATACACTAGCAGATGTCCTTGATCCCAGCCCTACAGGGAAAACTATAATGGATCTTGTGACAGAGTTGTTTCAAAAGGATACTTCAGTGCTTGAGGCTTGTCAGAGGAGAAAGCAAATGGACAGTCAGGCAATGAAGAAGGAAACCAAGAATAAGTAAGTAAATTAATTACACCTTTCTACATGTAACCTGCAAATAAATTATATGAAAGTAGTACTGAAAAGTTATGTTTGCTAAGTGAGGCCTAAGTGAGTTCTGAAAGATGTATTTGGAACACAATCTGTCATGCTTTATGCAGTTATGAAAGTGATTTTAATTATTATTTTCTACTTTTTGGTTCCAACAGTATCGCACTGAACTGTCCAAGGTTGAAGCAGAGTTGTTTTCCTTCCAATTTTCCAATTTCCTTACATAGGAATATGGAATATTGAAGCAGGTGTAGCCCCTTGAGCTTTTTCCACCATTTTTTCTAATTATAGCTGTTCATCCAACTCAGTACACCGTTCCTGCTTTCTCCACATACCCTTTGATCCCTTTATTTTTAAGAAATATATCTACATATTTCTTGAAAGACTTTAGTGTTTCTCCAGTATAATATTCAGGTATCACCAATATGTCCTTACGTAGGCAACAACAACATGGAAGGAGGGTTGGATAGTGTTTAGCAGCGTGATGGGTATGAACTAAGGCATTAAAAAATGGTTTCGGACCAAGAATGGCTATTTGCAATGTCTACTAATATCCAGTAACAACAGTTTAGTTATTTGTATGATATGGAAATGGAAAAACTGGGCAGGAGTCTATATTTTTATATAATTTTGATACAGACATATGGTTTAGGGCCACTCAGCCCCTCAAGTCTGCCTCATGAATAAGAACGTGGCTGATCTGATTACTGCACATTCCCACATACCCCCTCTTGCATTTCGTCCACTTACTTATCGAGAATCAATGTATCAAAAATATTCAAAGACTCTGCTTTCATGACCTTTTGAGGAAGAGAGATTCAAAGTCTCATGACTCTCTGAGAGAGAAAAAAATTATCTGCATTGCTGTTTTAGCTGGGTGACTTCTATTTTTAAGCAGTGGTTCCTAAACAGAGGAGGGAATGGTCTAATGGTATTGTCACAGGACTGTTAATCCGGAGATCCTGGTAATGTTCTGTGGACCCAGGTACGAGTATCACCATGGCAGATGGTGGAATTTGAATTCAATAAAAGTCTATAATTAAGAGACTAATGATGACCATGAAACCATTACTGATTGTTGGAAAAAAAAACCCATCTGGTTCACTAATGTCCTTTAGGGAAGGAAACTGCTGACCTTACCTGGTCTGGCCTACAAGTGACTCCAAACTCACAGCAATGTGGTTGACCCTTAACTACCCTCTGGGCAATGAGAGGTGGGCAATAAATGCAGGCCTAGCCAGTGTCCCCTTCATCCTGTGAATGAATAAAAAGTTCCAGATTCTCCCAGGAGAAGAGACATCTTTCTTCACGCACCCTGTCAAGGTACCTCAGGATTTTAAATGTTTCAATGAGGTTACGTCTTACTGTTCTAAACTGCCATAGACAGAAGCATAGCCTGTCCAACCTTTACTTAAAGACAACAAGTCCATGATTAATCTAGTAAATGTTGCCTACTTGCAACCTATCCCTTTGTAGCCTTCTTATGCCCTACCTATCTTCATGTCATCATCAAATTTAGCAACCAAACCTTCTGTCCCTTCATTCAAGTCATCTATGTAAACAGTAAAAAGTTCTGGTCTCAACACTGATGTGACTGAATGGGAATATATAAGATCCTGAGGGGACTTGAACAGGTGGATGTGGAAAGGATATTCCTCTTGTAGTAGAATTTAGAACTAGGAATTATAGATTAAAAATAAGGGGTCACCTATTTAACACAGGAGATGAGGAAACATTCTTTTCTCTCAGAGGTTTGTGTGTCTTTGGATGAAGGATCTTTAAATATTTTTAAGGTGGAGGCAGATGGATTCTTGATTGCCAAGGGGGTTTAAGGTTAATGGAATATGCAGGAATGTAGAATTGAGGTTAAAATCAGATCAGGCATGAGCTTACTGAATGGTGGAGTAGACTCAAAAAGTTGAGTGGCCTACTCTGTTCCTTGTTCATATGTTTGTATGTTTGTACATCTGGTTCCTCCTTATCCATAAAGTGGTTGAATTGATTTCCCTTTTACAAATCCATGCTGACTCTGCCTGATTACTTTGAATTTTTCAAAGTGCCCAGCTACGCTTAAAAATAGCTTCTAACACCTTCCCATGTACAAAGAGCAAAGAACAAAGAAAATTACAGCACAGGAACAGGCCTTTTGGCCCTCCAAACCTGCGCCGATCCAGATCCTCTATCTAAACCTGTTGCCTATTTTCCTAGGATCTGTATCCCTCTGCTCCCTGCCCATTCATGTGTCTGTCTAGATACATCTTAAATGACGCTATTGTGCCCGTCTCCACCACCTCCGCTGGCAACACATTCCAGGCACCCACGACCCTCTGCATAAAGAACTTTCCACGCATATCTCCCTTAAACCTTTCCCCTCTCACCTTGAAATCATGACCCCTAGTAATTGAGTCCCCCACTCTAGGGGGGAAAAAGCTTCTTGCTATCCACCCTGTCTATACCTCTCATGATTTTGTAGACCTCAGTCAGATCCCCCCTCAACCTCCGTCTTTCTAATGTAAATAATCCTAATCTACTCAACCTCTCTTCATAGCTAATGCCCTCCATACCAGGCAACATCCTGGTGAACCTCTCTGCACCCTCTCCAAAGCATCCACATCCTTTTGGTAATGTGGCATCCAGAACTATACGCAGTATTCCGAATGTGGTCGAACCAAAGTCCTATACAACTGTAACATGACCTGCCAACTCTTGTACTCAATGCCCCGTCCGATGAATGAAAGTATGCCGTATGCCTTCTTGACCACTCTATCCACCTGCGTTGCCACCTTCAGGGTACAATGGACCTGAACACCCAGATCTCTGTTTATCAATTTTCCCCAGGGCTTTTCCATTTACCATATAGTTCGCTCTAGAATTGGAGCTTCGAAAATGCATCACCTCGCATTTGCCTGAATTGAACTCCATCTGCCACTTCTCCGCCCAACTCTCCAATCTATCTATATTCTGCTGCATTCTCCGACAGTCCCCTTCACTATCTGCTACCCCACCAATCTTAGTGTCATCTGCAAACTTGCTAATCAGACCAACTATACCGTCCTCCAGATCATTTATGTATATCACAAAAAACAGTGGTCCCAATATGGATCCCTGTGGAACACCACTGGTCACAGTTCTCCATTTTGAGAAACTCCCTTCCACTACAGCTCTCTGTCTCCTGTTGCCCAGCTAGTTCTCTATCCATCTAGCTGGTACACCCTGGACCCCATGCGACTTCATTTTCTCCATCAGCCTACCGTGGGGAACCTTATCAAACGCCTTACTGAAGTCCATGTATATGACATCTACAGCCCTTCCCTCATCGATCAACTTTGTCACTTCCTCAAAGAATGTGACAGACATTAAGGTAACAGGCATATAATTTCCTGATTTCCGTCTCCCTTTTTTGAAGAAAAGAGTTACATTCACAATTTCTGACCCGATGAAACTTTCCTTGAATATTTCAACTATCTCACTAGCCACTTCTTTTAAGATCTCAGAATGAAATTCGTGAGGACCTGGGACTTGTCATCCTACAGCAATTTACTCAATACCACTTCACTAGTGTTTATAATTTTCCTAGGTTACTCCCTTCCATTTTCTGATTTACAACAATTTCTGAGATGTTCCTTGTATGGTTTATAATGAAGACCAATGCAAAATACCTGTTCAGTTTTTTCTGCCATTTCCTTATTTTCTATTATTAATTTTCCCATACTTATTTCTACAGGACGGATGCTAACTGTTAATTTTTCATTTTTCACTATCAATAGAAACGCTTACTGTTTGTTACTATATTGCCAATTCGCTTTCTCTTATACTCTTTTTTTTCTCCTTATTATTCTTTTAGTCATTCTTTGCTGTTTTATATATTGTCCAAACTTTTGATCGCCAGCCATCTTTGCACTACTATGGGTGCTTTTTCATTAATTTTGATACTACATTTAACATTTCTGGTAAGCACAGATAGGAGTTCTACCTTTGGATTTTTTTTCCCTTTCTCATTGTATTTATTCGGAAATATCCCCTTAAATATCAGTCACTGCATCTCTATTCACCCATTCCTTTATCTAATTTACTAATTCACTTTTGTTACTACTTTTCTGCCTTTATAATTGCCCTTTATTTAAATTTTAAGCACCAATCTTGGATCCACTCATCTCTCTCTCTCTCTCTCTCTAATTGAAGTAAAAATCAGTTAGAAGGATTGTTCTGGTGCTTTCCCTGTGAGATCATTATTTATCCTATCTTGTTACGCAGTAACAGTACTAGTACAGGCTGTGCTTGGCTCCAATACATGCTGTTCTAAGAAATTATCCTGAAACCAATTTAATAACTTCTCTCCCAGGCTGCCTTTGCCCATCTGACTTTTCCAGATGAAAATCCCCCATGATTATCTTCGCACCTTTCTGACAAGCACCTATTATTTTGTGGTTACTGATGGGGGGCCTATGCACCAATTCTATAAGTAATTTCTTGCCTTTATCATTTCTCAACTTAACTTGAACCATTTTTACATCCTGCTTCCTTGTCATCCCTGTCTATTGCACTGAAAGTATTGATAATTAACAAAGCCACAGCTCCATCTTTTCCTGCTTTCTGTGCTTCCTAAATTTTGATTTTCAGGCCCAAATTTATTTCAACCTATGTCTTAATGACCTTGACATCATCCTTATTTCTCTTTGCACTATCAATTCATCTGTTTTATTTTGAATGCTGGGTGCTTTCAGATATATAGCCTTTAGTTATGTTCTTTTACTATTCTTGTAACTTTTAGCCTTATCTGTTGATTTATTTTTAGAGTTAAAATCTATCCCTTCCTGTTGGGGTGGTTCCTCATTTCCCACATTAATATCTGACTGTCTTGCTTTGTCTCTACTATTCGAATTACCACATGGTCTCAAAATTGAGTGCACTGAAACATAGAAAATAGGTCCAGGAGTAGGCCATTTTGACCTTCAAGCTTGCACCACCATTCAGTATTCCATTCCTGTTTTTTCTCTGTACTCCTTGATCCTTTTGGCTGCAAGGGCCGCATCCAGCTCTCTCTTGAACATATCTTATGAACTGGCCTCAGCAGTTTCCTGTGGGAGAGAATTACCAGAGGTTCACAAGTCTCTGAGTGAAGAAGTTCTTCCTCACCTCAGTCCTGAGTGGCTTACCCCTTATTCTTAGACTGTGACTCCTAGTTATGGACTTCCCCATCATCGGGAACATTCTTCCTGAATCTAGCTTGACCAGTCCCAGTAGGATTTTATACGTTTCTGTGACATTCCCCCCGCCATCCTTCGAAATTCCAGTGAGCACAGGCCCAGTCGATCCAGTCTTTCCTCGTGTGTCAGTCCTGCCAACCCAGGAATCAGTCTGACGAACCTTCACAGGACTCCCTCAATAGTAAGAATGTCTTTCCTCAGACGAGGAGACTAAAACTGCACATAATACTCAAGGTGTGGCCTCACCAACGCCCTGTATAACTGCATCAAGACATCCTTACTCTGATACTCAAATTCTCTCGCTATGAAGGCCAGCATGCCATTAGCTTTCCTCACTGCCTGCTGCACCTGCATGCCAACCTTCAGCAATTGTTCCATCATGACACCCCGGTCTTGTTGTACCTCACCTTTTCCTAAACTGCAACCATTTAGATAATAATCCTGTTTTTGCCACCACAGAGGATAACCTCTTACTTATCCACATTATGTTGCATTTGCCAAGTATTTGTCCACTCAGCCAGTCTATCCAAGTCACCCTGCAACCTCTTACCATCCTCCTCACAGTATACACTGCCACCCAGCTTAGTGTCATCTGCAGATTTGGAGATATGGCATTCAATTCCTTCGTCCAAATCATTAATGTATATTGTGAACGTATCCCACAATTTAATTTAAAATCCTTTCTACTCCCCTTGTTACACAGCTCACTAGAACACTGGTGCCAGCATAGTTTAAGCTACTTTCCTTCTTTAACTAATTTCTCCCCAGTACAGAGCTTGTACATCCCTGCTTAGTTCTGGATGTAGTTTAAAACTTAAACAAGCAGCACTATGTTTCTTCCCTGTTAAACATGCTATCGAAAATATTCCAATACAAAGAGATCATTGATTAGTCCCTTGGGTCATTCACAACCCAGGTCATACAGAAAAACCCAATCACTTTCACTTTGACATAACAGTGACAATGAAATATATATTCTGAACCAGAGAACAACTGAAAAAGGTGGTACCCTTGTGTCCCAACTGCTCTAAAAACCAATTGATGGTCTAGGCAAACCAGAGGTGAGGGTAAATGAAGGCAGAAGCAATGCGATGTGCTACTCATCACATGGCATCATACACATTTGAGGATAGATGTAGCAAAACCCACCCTCACAATTGCACACAGCAAAAAGTAATAACTGATGTTCCAGCAACTTATTTAGTATTAATAATTTATTAAAACTGCCAGATATCATTGATTTTTGGATCCATCAGCAATTCCCCTGTGTTCCTTTAATTTGCTGCATGATGAACAAAGAGACAGATGTGACATTGATATGGTTATCTGTATCATTTAGTATCTTATGCGCTGTTAAGGAAATGGATTGCGGAAAATGGGTAAGAACATGTAACTGCATTCTGCTGAACAACACTGGCTTGAAAATTGATCTTAGATATATGATATTTGATGTTATTTTTGTGATACCCTCAGGATGAATATCAATATGAGAATGGCCATTTGACCCATCTAACCTCATCCATCCCAAAAAAGCATAGTTACTCTCATTGCAGCATTTGTTTGTTAAATCATTCCAAGATTATTGTCCCTATTGTCTGATACAGAGGTACATTGATCAATCATTTTGTGAATGAGAGTTTCCTGATATTCAACTTAATATGGCCTTTTACTATATAGTTCTTGGGCTTGTAGTTCTATTATCGAGGTTCAGTTTGAAGTGTAGGGATCATGGATATATAAATCCTGCTAATATTGGTACTGGAGAGCAAGGGAAAATCTGGGGAACAAATGAGTTAACAAGATGGGCCCCAAGCACTTAACTGTGGCAGGCAAGGTCAGGTGAGCTCTTGCTAATTCTAATGTAAGGAAAATGGAGTTCAGAGTGATTTGGCAATGGCAGGCCTGCTTATCCAATCTTTTTGTCCATTAAACTGCCATAAGGCACAATCCTAGGTGGAATTACGGAGAAGAATCCAACATTTAAGGCTCTATTATTACTGTCTCTGCCTGGCATAAACCAGACATGGAACCAGGTAAAGTAAGTTGAGAAAATCGACCACTCCTTTCCAAACCCAAACTGCTATTTGAAAATACAGGCAGCAGGGCCACTTAGTGCTAATCAAATAGCATCATCTTGATTTCTCTTGCCATCTGTTCTGGCATGACAGTGGAAGTCATATTGCAATAGTCCCAAGGTCCCTGACCTGTGTTAACAGAATAACTTTTAATGGTAGTTCACTCTACAGAGAGTTACATAGTTTACACAACATGTCCACTCCTGTGTTTGTGTTCCATTTTACTTTAGCGAAACCCATCAACATATCCTTCTCTTCCGTTCTCCCTCATGTACTTAAGGACATCAAAATGCTAGATTACCTATGACCCAGGAAAACCAGTCAGGGTACAATGGAATGAACATATCTCCTGCCTCTGTTCTGTCTCTAAATGATTGGATCCTTGGGTGAAGATCAGCCATGATCCTTTGAATAATGAAACAGTTTTGAGATGGCCCAATGGTCTACTCTTGCTCCTATTCCTCATGTTAAAAGAAATCCTCACCTGATCAATAGCTATTGTGTGCTCAAGAAAGTTTGAGAATTTATCATGACTCACCAACAGCTTTATGATGTAGCTTGTAACTATTGAACACTTGAGCAAGGACTCCCTCAAACTTATTTAACTCACAAATCTCCTGCCCTTTAATACAGGATGAATAGTCTCAGTAGTTTGAGAAGGATTTGAACCCACATCAGAGATTTGAAACAATATTAGTTCATATTCAGTCTCTTCTTTTCCAAATAATATATACGTTGAAATGACAGAATTACAGTAAAATTAACTGGATAGTTCTGGTCTTACTTAATGCCAGGTATTTGGCAGTGTTAAGACAGTTCTTTGGAAATGTCATCCCTGCTTTGTGTTCCTATTTTTTTGATTAGAGACAAGCAAGATAATCGACTCCCATTTTCAAAAGAAACAAATCTCCAATCTGAAATATCAGTGAAAATCAATCAAAAAGAAGAAAGCACCAAGAGTGAAATGGAGTGTGAAAGTGATGTGACAGAGAAGAAGGTGAGTGATACTTATGAGATCCCAGTACAACTCCATTCCTGTGAAGCCAAGAGGGGAGCTATCAGCTAACACTGAGCATTTTATATGCAGCAGCTAACCCATTTTCTACATAGTATTCTGGTAATTTACACACTAATACCATCTCCAGTACAGCATACTAATCTTGTATTAACCAGGTCTGTTCTTAAGGAAAATTTTCACAATGTCCTAATGCCATTTCAGTAGGTATCATACGTAGATGATTAGTTCTGACCTGGAGATACCCTATTACATTCAAATGCATATAATACTATGTTACTGCCTCTTCCAACAAAACAATATAAAACAATGAGAGAGGATTTGTTCTGTATAGCTGTATCATAAATGTGAAGATCAGTTAGCTAAATTGGCTGGGGGGATGGCTTGTAATGCAGAATGACACCAACAGCATGAGCTCAATTCCCATACTGCCTGAGGTTACCATGAAGGTCCTACCTTCTCAGCCTCACCCATTACACCATCAGGTTCAGCTCATGACCAGTTGTCTCTCTCTCTCTCTCTAATCGAAGAACAGTCCTCTGGGACCATAGTGACTGAATCTTTTCCTATCATAAATACATTCTTTATAAATTAGTTTTTAATTTTTTTGCACACAGAGAACATCTTCACATTGTTAATGGGCTGAGGATTTCAAATATTTCATACCATGATAATTGAACAGACTTTGTCTACTCTTCAGGAGCATTAAAGCTTTCTCCATGAATTCATGACTGCACATTACAGGTTAAAGCCCTTGAAGAAGCAAAAATGAAACCTATTTTGAACTAAGCACTAATTTCAAAATGGCCCTGCCAAGTTTGAGTTTTCTGCATGTGTGATTTCTACCCCATCCTCTTCCCTCATCGCCAAAACTGAGATCTGCTGGAGATGGATATCCAAATCTAAGATTCCCCACTATTTTTGCTGGTCTTCAAAGGTAGCCTGACTCTGCAATTCCTCAGACGTTAATGTACTTCTGTTGACTGGACAATTCTTAACTCCTGAATTTTCTAAGTTTAACACTTGAAGGGTACCCCTTCAACAAATTACAGAACACCAAGCTCACTGCTCCCTAGCAGTTTTTTTTTACCACAAGCAGCAAGTAGAAATTTTCAAACAATGAATTAAGCAATAAACTGCAATTTTGGGCTGTAGACATTAGGAAATGCTCCAAACAGCTCCTGCACATTGATGAACATTGTCGCATTTAGTGATGCTTTTTCTTATAAAAGAAAAGTGCACCTACTCACAATACGAACAAAATACTCTCAGTACCAGTTTGGACAGTTTCTGTCAGTTACTCATGGTAGGCAGGTCACACGGAGATTTATTTCTCCATTGCTTTCTGATTGTATCATGTGGCTGGCAGCCCGGCAAAAAACAAACTAAATAGACCCTGTTTTTTTTTTGGTTTAGCATTTTGTATGTTCCTATTCATTTCTAAACAAGTAGGGACAGGCAATAAATGCTGGGTAGTTAGCGATACCATGAGTGAACATAAAAAATGTGTACTTTGACATTCAGCAGAATGGGTACACTCCTAAAAATGTGCTGGAAACTTCAAGAGAAGATACCCCTTCAGCAAAATTATAAATTTCAAACCTATTAAATAGATTCATGGCTATGTTGCCCATAACACACAGAGCTCTTCACCCAACATTGTTGCCTCTTCCTGAGATGTGTACTAAAACAGCATAACAAGAGTCCATTCCAGTCCTGCCTACCTACCTGACAGTGTAGAAGACACTGGTTGTATAATGGTGGCTGAGTTCTTGCTGTGTTTCTAATGCATTCCCATCCACTGCTCCTTCAACTGCTGGGTCAGACAGACGCATTGGTTAAAATTTTCCAGGCCTCAAGTCGCAGGAACCAGACAGTCTGTCATTTGCCTTAGTCCCCACTTGTGGATCTTATTCCCATATTAAAATCAGGCTTGCCAACTCTCAAACAGATAAAAAATTGCTAATAGATTTGAAAAGAATGTGTATGTTAAAAGCTGCTTTGCTTTTATTTCCAGAAGGAGTTAATTAACACCATTAAATGTAAACTTCAAAAGCTTCAGGAAGCTAAATCTGGTTTAAGTGTGGATATCAAAAGAAATAACACGTTAGGTGATGACATCCAGGTCTGGGTGAATGAAGTCTGCACACCTAATGAAGTCCAGAAATACAAGACCTTCATTGAGGATCTGGACAAGGTGATGAACTTGCTGCTGTGTCTATCTAGCCGTCTGGTGCGAGTGGAAAGTGCCCTGAGTAAAGTCAATGAGGCCACCGACGTGGAAGAGAAGGTTTGTTACAATAATCAAGTTGTATTCAATTTGACATTTTACTCGAGCCACTGCTAAAAACCACGAGACCAAAATATTCTATTGTTATTACCAGAATATTTAAAATTTCCCAGTGATTTTAGCAATTGATTCATGTGGATTTCTGTGTCCCCTTCTTGTGCTAATTAAAGTATAGTGACAGAGGAAGGCTTAATTAGGACATGAACAAAATACTGTACAAAGATAGGAAAAACAGCTGGTACATGTTGACAATGTTAAAATAGTGACAGATACAGCTGAAAAAAACTTGTGTGCTTTAGTAAATTCAATACTAAATATATCCCAAGAATTTAAAGCAGAAATTAACAAAACAATGTTAACTGTTCAGCTGAATCAGTGGAATACAAGTCAACAGAAGTCATGATTAAACTACGCAGTGCTTCAAATCAAATACCATCTTGAATACTGTTCTGAAAAACAAGACAGATATTCAGGTGCTGATGGCAGTTCAGAGTTAGGTATGAGACTGGTCCTTATTGTCAAACGTTTGAACTATGTGAAAAGATTGGGACACTTCAGGTTTTTAATCTAGAAACCAGGCATTTGACAGATGCTTTTGTAGATATATACATAAATTAGGCAAGAGAGTAGGAACAAGCTGAAATACACCCAATGCATTGGGATGCCAATACCAGGACCAAAGAGAACTCTTAAGCATGCACTTGCCAGCAGTAAGAGAGACCTGGTGATTTTCAATTTACACCAATGAGTCAACCGTCCAATTAAGGATGATGGACAAGCCCCTGATGCTGCTCTCCGATTAGACCATTGGTAGCTGTGAAGCTTCAGCAACCCTACCCCAGCAAAGACAGGTAGGAGATGATAAGGACACTTCAAATAATTAATTCAGGATGACCGAGTGCAAAAGGCCTCTTTGGGTGGACCCAATGGAGCTGAAGAAGAGCCTTTCCTGCAGCAGCCCTTCAGAGGATGGAGACTGTGGCTCCACTCGACCCCATGCTGCTGCAGTGAGGTCACCTCCCTGAAGTTGCCATTCTTTCCCACAGGACAGGGTGTTGTTGAAATGCTACAGGCCCATCGTAATGGCTCTTAATTAGAATCTCAATTATAAAAATAGAGTGATGCCTACAAGCAGCAGACAGATAATCTGCACCCAGGTTCACCTTAGGAAACATTTACCTGTGATGGGACTTGTCCCAATATGGCTCCACAGAATTTCATTGCTCCCTCACTCTTCTATTCTAACAACCGGGGCTGGTAAAATTCAGACCAAAAATTGAGAATAATCAAAATAGTATAAATTCCACACTGAGAACAGGGGTAGGCGTTCAATCAAGTAAGATATCAATTTAGGATTAATATCAGGACTTTCTTCATGAAGAATTGTTAACATATGGAATAGACTTCCAGGTAGATGAGTGGAAACAAAATCCTTAGATATGTTTAAGAAGCAATTGGAAGCTACAATGGGATGGCTTTGCAACTCTCTGGATAGACGAATTAATATGGTTTAAAAAGCTTTCCTCATCTATAATTATCTTGTGCTTTTGTGAGTAGTGGTGAATAGACCTTGCAGGAAAAGATGGGTTTCACAGGTGATTGATTACCTGTGTAGTCCATTGGCTTTGCCTTAACTGCAAAATTTGAGGAAGGTGTGGATTCAGAGGTTTTACAAGAATCTGTATTTATCATGGCTAAGATCTTTAATCTTAATTTGCTCTCTCCTGAACTGAGTTGACGAATCATTTACAACAAGAGCTACTTTCACACTCAGTTTTATAACTGCATGGTGGCTCAGTGGTTAGCACTGCTGCCTCAGAGTGCCAGGGACCAGGGTTCAATTCCACACTTGGGTGCCTGTCTGTGTGGAGTTTGCACATTCTTTGGGTTTGCTCCAGCTTTCTCCCACAATCAAAAGATGTACAGGACAGGTGGATTTGACATGCCAAATTACCCATAGTATCCAGGAGTGTGCAGGCTAGGTGGATTAGGCATGGGAAAATGTAGGGTTACAGGGATAGGGTAGGAGGAAATGGGTCTGGGTGGGATGCTCTTCGGAGAGTCAGTGTGAACCCCAGAGTACCAAATGACCTGCTTGGGGATTGTATGATTTTATGAATCTGTTGTGCAGACAACAGATGGTTGAGATAGAGATAACAAGGTGCAGAGCTGGACGAACACAGCAGGCCAAGCAGCATCAGAGGAGCAGGAAAGCTGACGTTTCGGGCCTAGACCCTTCTTCAGAAATCTGCAGTTCCTACTATCTCAGGTAGTTGAAATATACATTTTCAATTATTTGAAGAACAAAAGAGAATAATCCTTTGGTAGTAGACCATTTGAGAATGACTGAAAAATATCACAGATTATTGCAGCTTTTTGTCTTGCATTTATTCGGTCAATTTTGCAAGAAATACTAAAACTAAAGAGAAAACAACATTTTCACTTTATAGGAGAAAACTGCTGATCACATCTCAGAGGAATCACATTTAGAGTTGGACAATCTTTTGCAAGATGTGCAAGTGCATGCTGGTTGACTCTGCCATAACATTTATCTATATCATTTTTCTAAATTATCTGGAGTGTGCAATAATTACACTGTTGACTAATTTAGGGCTATTGTCCAGGCTCGCAATGTGGTGTACTTGTGTATAATGAAGGATACTTATATTTTTTCTTTAATCTTTCGTGGGATGTGGACATGGTTAAATGTCAGTATGCTACCATCTCTCCCATCAATACGCAGAGCCCTGTCTTTCCAAATGGAAAGAACAAGTACACACCCTGTATATATTTCAGCTCTAGAAAATGGGTGGTAGACATCATCTGGCTCATTTCTCATGGTAATCTGTTAGCCAATCAGAATCAAGCTGTATCATTTATAATTTAAACAAAGTCTGGCTATTAACTGTCGGTTATCATTAACTGGTCCATTTTCAGTGGCAAGAGCTTTAGCAATCAGAGTTCACTTGACAACCAATCAGAACTCTCCTTGCAAACACCCTAAATGCTGTTTACCTTTACTTTGGTAATTAATGTGAATTGTCCTCTTGAGTGTGAGATGAAAAGTTGAGACCAAATGTGTCTTCTTTCAGCAATAAACAAAGGAAAAGCAGAAATAGTTATTGATCAGAAGGAAGAACTTTACTTAACTTTTCAAGGTTATTATTGTTGATAGACTGTTACTCTGTTGCTGCACATACCTAAATTAGGAATGGTGTCAGGTTAAATGTTTTGGTGTCCCAAATAATACGAGCGTGCAGCAGAATGGTAGAACCTATACTGATATTAAAATTTTAGCTATATCGAGAAAACATATTTCTACAGTGTCTTTTTGTTTTACTGTATAAAATATCCCAAAGTGTTATAACATAATAATTTGACATTAAGACATACAGCCGATATTAGCCCAGATGACCAAAAATCTAATCAAACAAATAGGTGTGTTATAAAGGGGGAAATGAGTTAGAAAGGTAGAGAAGTGAAGTAAAGGAATTCCAGAGCTTAGGACATAGGCAGCTGCTGACATGGACATCAGTGTCAGAATGGTTTAAGTCAGGGATACTCAAGAGGCCAGAATTGATGAGTGCAGATATCTTGGAGGATTGTGGTGTTGGAAGAGATTACAGAAGAGAGGAGAGATTACAGGGAGGGCAGTGGCCATGGAGGGTGCCGGATATTGTGATCAACTAGGTCAAGAAATACAAGGAGGGATAGTTTACAATTACTGCAGTAACACAGATGGCATTCGTGATTATGATAAGAATCATTTCAGTACTGTAATGTAAAAGATTAAAATAACATGTTCCAGTATAGTTAAGAAAAAGATCAAGTCAAATGGCAAAAGGTGCACCAACTGGATAAATTGATCCTGGCTGCAACCATGGCAAGGACATGAAGAACCGCAGTTGTTGAATTTCTAAGAAATCATTAAGAAGTGACAATGGTGTTCACCCAAACCAAAAGCATTTCCAACTCAAATGCCTAAATTCTGTTTAAAAATGAATATAAAAGAGAAGCAATGTGGATATCTTTCGGTAGTTCGGAATGGTTTATCATTTATTCTCTAAAAGACTGCCCTAATACTTCTAAAATATTTTGACAGAGTTGAATGTGATATTTAAGCTGAATCAGCACCAGCTGCTATTTTATCATCAGGCTCAGTTGAACGTGTTGATTCCCCTAATCTATTGAACAGTGCAGTGATGAATCTTAGTGAAGAAAAGAGGTCAAAATGTTGCAGCAACTACTTAGGGAAGGGATTAACATTCCTGGGCAATAATGAACAAAAAGGTCACCCTAAAAGTATCACATTCTTAGACTTCTTAGAACCCATGAGCTGATTTGATTCATGCATTTCAGAGCTTACTGCCTAATTTGAAAATGCTGGCTGAGTAAATCGGAGTCTTTAACATTTTTTCATACATTTATACAAATGATCACTGGTAAATGTGATGACAAGAGTAAATGAGAGGTAAAATAAACCAGAACCAAACTCAAATATAATCATTGCCCTCTGACCTTTCTCACATTGGCCAGCATCTCCGAAAGATTAGGAGCTTAGTTGAGAGATAATGGAAGCTGATAACTATACTGTGTAACAAAGAAACTGTATAACACACTTGAAGATTTCAAAGTACACATCACTGACCTTGGTGGGTAAAATTACAACAAGTCTAATATTAGTAAATATTTAATCTTTAAAACAGTATTATAAGTGTGTTGGAACTGTCTCTTTTTTGAGGTAAAACATTGAAATAAGATAAACCTGTTAAGGTAGATATAAAAGGTGCCATAGCAAATCTTTTGAAAGATTGAGTAAAAGCTTATGCATTCAAACCTGAGAAGCGCTCCCCGCTCTTTAACCACAACAGAGTGCCTCCTTAATACTGAACAAATCTGGGATGCTCCTTCTCAATATTGCCACAGTTTTTATCATCATTGCACAATGGGAAAATCCTGTGATTTTATTGAATGTTACCAAACTTTTAATGTTGTTACATTGCAATATCTGATTTACAATTTCCAGACCTCAGAAAAGTTTGTCATAGTCTGAAGCCCATATTACAAGCCTCTGTTCCACTAAGCCCTGGGACCCCTCCACAGTGCTACTAAATCTATGAAACCACCATCATTTTCCAAAATACTGGTGAACTAGTCACTGTGTATAACAATGAGATGCTTGGTAAATACTCAGAACTAATGCAGCACTGAGGAAGTACAACATTGTCAGCAATACACCTTTTAGATGAGACATTCGACTTTAAGCCAATTTCTCTTTAAACGTGGAATCACATGTTTTCTTTCATATGGTATAATGTTCCTACGCATATAACACAGCACATTGTCTGACTTACTGCAGGCAAAACCAGCAAAAGGTTTTCTAGTTAAGTACATGTTCTATTTTTTTCAGCAATCATTGAATGAAAGGCACCGGACACTCTCTCGCCAGCATGAAGATGCCAGAGGACTGAAGGAACATCAAGACCACCGGGAACGAGTGATCTTCAGTATCCTAACAAACTACCTCACCAAGGAACAGCTTCTGCACTGTGAACATTTTATCCAAATGAGAAAAGCTTTACTAATCAAACAAAAAGAACTTGAAGAAGATTGCAAACTAACTGAGGAGCAACTTGAATTTTTTGAAAACACCCTTCAGATATGATTTCATTTTGCTTTCTTTTGAAACTGATTATTAGGTTCCCAAGATGACTCCCATTAATGTTGAAAAGTGATTTATTAATCCAAGTCACATAGTAGGTTAAAGCAATTCATTCCAAAACTAGCTAATATTACCTGTATCCTGATTGTTTCCATGTGAAATAACTTAAAATGGATAATTAAATAGAAATGAATTGAGGCTACGCTGTAGAGTTAGAGCCAGCTAATAGCAGATTGTTGGTTCCTGATAACTAACTGAAAGCTTTTGTTTATCATGTTGATGATCATCAACCACAACAGCCCAGATTTTGCAGTCAGTGTCAAAGCATTGGAACTTGTCATTAAACTGGAAGAAAGTTCACAAAGATGCATTGAATTCTATGGCATGGCTTTCATTTCTGAATATCAATTTGAGTCTGCTGCCAAGTCAAAAGCACATCCAGATGTCTACCAATGTTGGTATAATTGAGCTGGACCACCCCATCACGTTGAAGAACTTTCACAGACAGCAAACCAGGAAATCAAATATAATCATCACACTTAATTTTGATTGTCATATTACAGAGTAAAATAAAAATGTTGGACATAGATTATATATTAAGGTACAACGATCATGAACTAACTTTAAAAAATGAATTCAAAAGTAGACTTTTTTATCATTGTGGAAAAATTTAACATAACACACAATATGCGTTACTTTTTAGTACTACTTCAGCAGTAATTATCAATTTAGTATGCTGTTAAATCCCAGTTATTTCTCAAGGATTTTTTTTCCCACCATTTGTACAGAAAGACTAATCATACGAAAAGGGAAGTTCTTTTCAATTCAGTGATTTTGCATAGATTACATTCTGTAGAGACTTGAACAGCACAGCTCTGTAGAAACATGGAATCGTTGACAATAACTTCTGGATCTTTGTGTTTAACATCATAAGTGTGGACTCCAGAACCCGCTGTCGGTTTCAGCAAAATAAGGACAGCAAATGCCACCATTACCACTGCAAAATCTGGGCCAGTATTATTCATAATTATGTAGCTTGGTTTTCATTGCAAAACATGTCTTTACA